CTGCAGGGGCCAACCCGCCCCTGCCAATTGTAACTCCTGGGATGGCTAATGTTTTAACTGGGCAGGTGTCTCCCAAGTGCACTGGGAATATGGGAAGCAACCACAGCACAGAGATCAGTAGAGGCAGAGTTTTTTCCTTACATATTCAAAACCTTTTGCACTTTAATCACAGGTAGCGATGTACCTTTGGGTATCGAGTACACTGGGGAACTTTAGAGTGTTTGTGTTCTATAGCAGTAAATAACAAATAAGTGGCTCCAGAGGTTGTTCCATCCACTGACCTCAAGCTCAAAGCTGCCCTCAGTTGACGATATCCACATCTAGGCACTGAGGGTTGGGATATCTTTCCCTATGCACTTCCTTGCCTGAGCCAAGTCTCTTACAGTCTGCACTCTTTAACTTGTCAGCGTCCAGGCCTCTTGCTCTCCACAACTGCCTCCCTGGGTCTTCCCTCACTGAGGTTTTGGCAGGTAAAATTGAGGTTCCTTGGCTTCTGGCTGTTCTCTGATCTCATGCTTCTGTAATCACTTGGATTTTAACGTAGTTCTCTCTCCAGGTGGTGTCTGATGACTGCCATATGAACCATAGAGAGTAACAAAATGGGATTTCTTTCCACCTTTGACCTGTCAGTTGGATGAACCACTGTCTCACCAAATCTCAAAATTGAGTTGGAGTCTTCAAAGAGCTGTGGGTCTTCTCTGGGACTTTGTCTATCATCTGGCTTGCTTTTTGGAAGCAGTCTCTGCTTCCCCTCCCCGAATGAGGGAACTGTGCAGCTGAAACTGAGCTCTGCCCACTTGTCTGCATCATCTCTTTTCTGTACACTTTTCAGGATCTGTTCACTTCCTTTGTGAGGTTCCAAAGTTTTTTCTTTCTTCCTTTAAGAAAGAGTCCATTTTTCTTACTTTGATTATTTTTCTTCACCTGCTCACATGGCAGGAGGTAGTGGAGCAGAAAGATGAGAGCTCATCTTCCAGACACTGAAAGAGAAAGTGAAATTGGTAATGGGATGTGGCTCCCAAAAGCCCACCCCAAGTTATGTGCTTCCTCCATCCTACAAAGCCACACCACCAGCTGGGACCAAGTGTTCAAATACTTGGAGCCTATGGGGACAGTCTTGTTCAAACCACCATACTGACTTTGTATACATTCATTTGCTTGTTTCAGTTCCCTTTGAAGTCTTTGATCATTTTAAAAATATTTTATTATTTTTATTTTATATGTATGAGTATATTGCCTGCATGTGTGCAAGCACACCTGTGTCATACAATGAAGTCAGAAGAGGGCACTGGATTGCCCTGGAACTAGAGTTACAAACCATTGTTAGCTGCCATGTGGATGCTTCGAATCTAACCCAGGTCTACAGCCAGAGCAACCTCTGCAAGAGCAGTCAGTGCTTCTGCTGATTTGTGCATCTGTTGCAATGGATATATCTTTCTGGGTTTTCCCCACTCTTTCTTGTTTTCCTTGTGTTACATTTTCTTAGGGGTAGTCTTCTCTCAGACTTAAGAACCGGGTGTCATGTAAAAGGGAGAAAGTAGTCAGCAATAGCAAAAACAATGAAATGCAGTAAAAAGCAATTGGGACCCCCAGCCATTCCCCACTATTTGCCCTTCTGGTGAATCTAGTCAGCCTATCTAGAGGGCTTTGTTTTAGGAGGGTCAGCTGTTCCTCATCTAGTGGTAATCAGTTGTTAATATTCCTTTGGATAAGATTGGGGTCTGCTGTTCATTTTCCCAGTTCTATGTTGGCTAACTATCTGGGAGTCCCTTTGGCCACGCTGGCCAACAACTCAAAAGAAGGCATCGCCTGTCTGGCATTGTTGCTTCTTATGTAGCCTTTAGCTATACATATGGACTCTTAAGAAATTATATTGGCTCCTTTAATCTTTGGTTATACTTTCTTTTTGGGTGTTTAAGGCCATACAGTTGGACCAGATAAACCGATTTATTTTTACCCTTAAGGTTGTTTGAGGATCTGTTCCTCAGGGGTCACATGGGCTTGGGAGGAGCCCCTGGCTCCTTTCTTTTACCTGTTCCGCCTATATGAAGATTAAGAAAATAATAATAATAATTTTTCAAAGCTTAAAAATTTGTTCCTTAATAATTAGTAGATGTGAAAAACATTACCATTGAAAATCTAACTGATCATTTTTTTCCATGCTCAGATGCTATGGAGCTCAGAAAGTAACCAAATGTGACTAGTAATAATCAGATATATAGAGATTAGAAACATGTGCAAACAGTGTTCATTT